CTCGGCTCTGGGACTAGTCTGATGGTATACCTCTGGACTTTCTCCGACAAGGTTTTGTGCTTAACAGTGTAGTGAAGCCGCATATTCCAGGATTGGTCTGATGCGTGTGGGGGGATATGCGAAGTCCTGAATTAATTATTATTCAGATTTCCAAAGACAGCTCTTATATTGGCCAGCCTTGCATACGTCGCTGATGATATCCGTTTGATGTGGGTTTTGGGAGACGGGTTGGGTGTAATGTCAGCTCTCAGGAGTTTGTGGTGACTGTTGAAGGGGTTTGCCTCCCATGTGGTACTGTTGTGTCAGGCCTCCTGTTTCCAGTACAAAGTTCCATTACTTGACACTTGCTTCAGTATCCGTTGGTTGGACCATTCTATAAGTTGGTTCCGGCCATCTTTTAATTCCCTGCTATTTTCCCACATATTAATCTGCCTGACCATTTTTTTTCCAGTAAGCATTGAAAGAATTGAATATCTGGTAAAGAATATAATTTATAAATGTTTTAGGAATAGGATGGGTCTGAGTACTGACCCCTTCCCCCCTGGGAGGACTCTGCTGGTGGGCAATATCTCTCCATTCTGATATCTCTCGTCTCACTGTGACCCTCTATCTTATGTCGCTTAGGTACTCCCTTATCCACTGGAGCATCTTTTCCGTCTCCTGCCCTTTTCTGTCGTGTCTGATTTCAGTCATGGCATTCTAGCAGTTTTGTGAGACAATATTTAACATCTGTGAAGGTACTCTGTTGATGTGGTACCTTACCTTGAGGTTACCTTGAGGTGCTTCCGGGGCTTAGCGTCTCCGCGGCCCGGTCGTCGACCAGGCCTCCTGGTTGCTGGACTGGTCAACCAGGCTGTTGGACGCGGCTGCTCGCAGCCTGACGTATGAGTCACAGCCTGGTTGATCAGGTTCAATGCAATATGAAGTCTTTTTATGTACTACTACCATCTTTCTCATTATGACTGTGTATAGTATACAAGTTTGGGATTCTGGCTTGTGGCTTAGTGCTTCCTGTCTGTCTTCGTATTGTACTATAATATTGGCTCTCTTCCAGCTACCTGGTAGTTCTCTTGTGTGTATATTTGATATTTTTATTTTGTATTTACTATTTGTGTCCGCAGAATCGCGCTATTAGCTCCAGGACCCCGCCTTTCTAACCAATCTATTATTTCCCCTCTTATATATACTGCATATATTTCTCTCTAACACATGCACACACACACACATTCCCAGTAAGCAGCCCGTAGCAGCTGTCTAACTCCCAGGTGAACAAGTGCATCAGGGTGAAAGAAAATCTGTATTTGTTTCCGCCTCCATCCTGAATCTATCCCGGGCCATGAGGACTACGACCCCCGAGCGCTGTCCACTCAGCCGCGAGACCTTAGACCCTGTGTGTGTGTGTGTGTGTGTGTGTGTGTGTGTGTGTGTGTGTGTGTGTGTGTGTGTGTGTGTGTGTGTGTGTGTGTGTGTGTGTGTGTGTGTGTGTGTGTGTGTGTGCACGCGCGGGTATAAAGTGTGTAAAATTATTGTCAGATAACATTTTACAGAAGCTGAAGTACCGGTTGTCGCCGGAGTGACGCCATCGTCTCCCGGCTAATTTGTTCTTCGTCTTAAAAAAAAAACTTGTCGATACAAAGTTCTTAATTAGTTTAATTTTTTTGAACGGTCGTAAATATATTTAAACAATTGGGGGGGATAAATTAAATAAAAATTATGATAATAAAAATCTGTTTGGTCTTATGTTTAGGCCGAATTTGTTCATTTTAAGCATAGTCGAGGAATAGTTTGTGTCTTTAGAATTGGTTGGTGGCAAAGTTAGTATTATTGAAATTAATCATTTTATACATCGTGCTTAATGACCTTAGTGGGACGTGGCCTCGTGACCTTAGTGGAACGTGGCCTCGTGACCTTAGTGACCCGTGGCCTTAGAGCACCGAGGAGCAGTAACCTCACACGAATCTATACGTTTATAGGGCACACTAAAATACAAGAGGTAGGACATCCAGCACCACGGTGCTCCCGGCGACCAGAAACACGACAAATGCTGGAAGCGTGATGTTTCAAGCCTGAATGATAACATTACAGCAGTGTAGGAATAACATGTACAGGATTAGGATTCATTAAGATTCATTAGGCATTTAGACGAGCAAATCCGTAATCTGTTGACGTTTATATAAGTTTGTGAGCTCGGAAGAGCCACTTGATTGTTTACAACCAATAATAACCTTGGGTTGTCAAGTTCCGGAGCTCGTAAACTGTTTAATTAGATGTGAACAAGGCTGACATGGTTGAGAAAAGATGTACAGGTTTCGTGAATGGTTGGGAAAACGCTTGATGAATCTTGGCTCTGGTAAGAAACTAAGAACAAATCTTAGCTTAATCTTCATCAATCAATCAATCAATCACATTATCCAGGCCAGCATCATGGACGCCCTGTCACGGCTTATATTGCTTAGTGTGTTGCTGGGAGGGTCGGTGTGTTGCTGGGAGGGTCGGTGTGTTGCTGGGAGGGTCGGTGTGTTGCTGGGAGGGTCGGCGTGTTGCTGGGAGGGTCGGCGTGTTGCTGGGAGGGTCGGCGTGTTGCTGGGAGGGTCGGCGTGTTGCTGGGAGGGTCGGCGTGTTGCTGGGAGGGTCGGCGTGTTGCTGGGAGGGTCGGCGTGTTGCTGGGAGGGTCGTCGTGTTGCTGGGAGGGTCGGCGTGTTGCTGGGTGTGTCAGTGTTACCAGTCAACAACATCATCTTACTCTCTTCAACAAGCACACAGAACACAAACAAGGCAATTGCTGGCAAAATGTCCCCGGTTTAGGTGCCGAACAAACACACACACACACACACACACACACACACACACACACACACACACACACACACACACACACACACACACACACACACACACACACGTGTGGTGGTGACCTTGGACGGGTCCCCACGCGGGGGTAACAACCAGGAGTTGGTAAGTGACCAGCCAGTAAAGCTGGTGGACGGGTTGATGGTCAACAGCGGTGCTCACTGATGACCCAGCTTGACCCCCTCTGCACTCTCGAGTGAAAGGGCTCTTGAGTGAAAGGGTGAAGAATTTGGGGAGTGGAGGCGGTGGACGGTGTTGAGTGCCTGGACCGGATGCACTCAGCACTAAGATGGGCTTGTGTAACTGTGATTACCTAACACTGACTTCAAAAAAGAGGCGGGAACTTGGCCCTGTACGCCTCTTTTGCCGGTTTCGTTGTCCTCCTTTGGCGTTATAATTGAACTTTCCTGACGTTCGAATTATCTGTCGTATCCGGTTTTAAAGTTATGGATGGAGGTGTGTTCCGTGACTACTTATTCCTATAGTACATTCCTCTGGTTCACCAGCCGTCCATGGTAAGGGTATTTCCTGACATTTCTTCGACTCATTTGTGTTTCCAGCTTGCATGATCGTCCTCTCGTCCTTCTGTACTATTAAAGAGGCTGTCTTTGCCCTCCTTGTACTACCTTGTGTGTTGTGATCATATCTCCTTTATTTATTCTCATCTTTAGGATTATGAGATGCATTTCTCTTAACCTATTACCGTAGCTTAACTTCTTAGTTCTCATATTAATATTGTTGCAAACCTCTGCTCTTTTTAGTTGAGTTTTGTACAGATATGGAATTTGAATCTGGCATGGATGATCCCGTAGAGTTTTATCACCAGTGGAAGTGGCCTTCAGTCACCTGCACAGGTACAGTTTAGGTACAGCTACACAAATGCAGATGTACCTAAATGTGCTAATAAAAAAATGTACCCCTAATCCTGAGCACTCGAGGTGCAAACTGTATGAGCAGGAAGTGGATGATGGTGTCACACACCACATTACTGAATGCCAGTGTATTAGACCACTCAGACCCGCCAGCATGAGGTACCTGGAGCTTTGCAATCACTTTATTACCTCTCGTGTCCTTGAGGATATCCTCGTAATGTAGCCAAAATTTGCCAGTGTAGACTACTGATCACATGGCCCTGTATGACTAACCATTCTTTGTAATGGGGGATTTTTTAGCATCACGTAGCTAGTTCTTGACACATTAATCCCCTTCATGTAGTCTAGGGTAGCTGCATTACTGAAAATGTATCTAGATGTTTAAAAAAACAATGGTGCTGAACGTCTGATATGCAAGTGATGTCTACCACCTGACCTCTCCATAACCACCCCTACCACGCCTCCACCATACACCCAACACCACTGAAACAGCACCACCTCCTCCACAACCACCTCCACAGCCACCTCCAACATCTCCACAGCCACTTCCTCTTCAGCCACCTCCATCATCTCCTCCACAGCCACCTCCATCATCTCCACAGCCACCTCCAGGGTCTCCGCCAGAAGCTGCTGCTTGAGTACGTCCTACATCCTTCCTCTATGTCCATATTCAAATATATATGTCCAGGGGAGTTGTGGTGGTGGGGGGGGGGATGTCATATATAAGAATACTAAGAGTAGTGTAAGTGTTGTGGTAGTGTTGGCACGCTGACTGGCAGTGGTCATTAGTGTTCTTCTGTCTCGGGGCGTCACACAGTTCGTAGTTTCAGCACCATACTTATATATTTGGTTCACATTCAAATTTGTATAATAAAAGTTGAACAAATAGCTGTCCCTCGTGAGAGTAAAACTAGTAGCACTAGTATAGTATTAGTGCCTCGAATAGTAATATGAACAGCATTTGGAGCAGCAGCTGCAGTAGTGATAGTAGACGCTGTTTGCAATAGATGTAAGGATAATCTTAAGTTCTCAACATTTCTCATTGCTGGTCAAGTTGCCTGATCTTAGATAATACAGCATGCTGGACCTTCCTGGCCTGCCTGCTGGCGGTGTGGGGGAGAAAGCCTTGTGCTGTCTTCCCTTCATCTGATAGTTCATGTAGGCCTCATGGCTAAAGAAGTTAGGTTTTTCATAGGAGACTACCTGGTCATTATTGGGTGTACCACAACGCGACCATGACTGATGTGGGCCGTCTCTCTCTCTCTCTCCCCGCCACAGGCCGTGAGCATGGGCAGGTAGCAGTATGATCTCTGGGAGTGTGGTGGTCGGCGGCACGGTCTCTCCTCACCACAAGTATGTAGCGGTCACTCTCATCACAGACGAGACGCTAACTTTCCCCGCTGAGGTAAGTCACCAGGCGCCGGGGGGGCCCTCCGACGCCTCCCTCGCCTCTCTTCACTTCTCCCTATACACCGACTTTTCTTCCTTCGTCGCTGCTTCTTCCGCCACCTCTTCTCCTTCCTCCGCCTCCCTCCCTTTCTCCACTCATTTTCAACTAATACTTAAAAGTTCTCCATAATCCAGGAAGAAGGCCTGGTCGACGACCGGGCCGCGGGGACGCTAAGCCCCGGAAACACCTCAAGGTAACCTCAAGGTATGGTAAGGAGTTTAGTTCACTACAGACAAGCATCTGTCTCTGCTCGCCTTGTAACTTGGTCCTCGTATTTTCCTCATTGTAAAGTCACTTTAAAACTATGTTAATTTATTTAATGTTAAACAACATTCATATTAGCCACTGGATTCTATATATTAAGATGCTTTACTTAACTTATCAAAAATAACTCTTTATTATGAGGTGTTCCAAATACGATAATGAATGAGACACGAACGATCTCTTCTGGAATGAGCAAGAATCTTGGTAATTTAGTTAATGTTTAATATACAAGTTATTATGCCCATGTAGGTAAGTACACATACCATGCTTGAATACTTGAGTGATGGAAGCGAACTGCCAAGCACGCAGTTGATGTCCAAGTTGATGGGGGCGGTACGAGTCAATAGATGGTAGTTGATGAATACTAGTAGGGACGTGGTCGTTCCCGAATTCCTTTTATTCTCTTTTCTGAGTATAGGTGGTACTCACAGTATTACCAGGCGGGTGAGGCACTCGGGGATATCGGGCAGTGTGCAAAGTTGGATAAAAGAGTACCTCTCGGGAAGGAGGCTAAGGGCCATAGTGAGAGCGGGCTCACACAGCACTACTAAGGGTCCCGTACCGGGGCCCTGGGGCCAGATTCACGAAAGTACTTACGAACCTGTACATCTTTTCTCAATCTTTGGCGGCTTCGTTTACAATTATTAAACAGTTAATGAGCTCCGAAGCACCAGGAGGCTGTTTACAACAATACAAACAGTTGAATGGCAAGTTTTCATGCTTGTAAACTTTTTAATAAATGTAACCAAAGCCGTCTATGATTGAGGAAAGATGTACACGTTCTTAAGTGTTTGCGTAAGTCTTTTCGTGAATCTGGCCCCTGGTTGTTCCTATCTTGAGGTTATCTTGAGATGATTTCGGGGCTTTAGTGTCCCCGCGGCCCGGTCCTCGACAAGGCCTCCACCCCCAGGAAGCAGCCCGTGACAGCTGACTAACACCCAGGTACCTATTTTACTGCTAGGTAACAGGGGCATAGGGTGAAAGAAACTCTGCCCATTGTTTCTCGCCGGCGCCTGGGATCGAAACCAGGACCACAGGATCACAAGTCCAGCGTGCTGTCCGCTCGGCCGACCGGCTCCTAGTACAAATAAACTCTCTAACTCACGTATATTCAAATCAATCTTTGCTGAAGATACAAAAAATTATGAGAAGAATTGTCGTAGATAGCTTTGATATCGCCAGTAAAGAGGTAAATTATCGTAGATTTGGGTGATGTTATCGTAAATGTAGGACTAAGTCCCCGTAGGTGAGGGAGATGTTAATTATATGTTTGGAACTAAGTTATCATAGGCTAGTGAGAAATTATTTGTAACTTTGGTGCCGAATTATCGTAGATAAGGGTGAAATTATTATATTCCCTGTGGGGGCGGCCTTATTATCGCACTTACGGGTCTGAAGAATCGTAGGTTGAAGGTGAAAATGTTGTAGGTTTATGGTGAAATTATCACAGGTAAGGCGTGAATCATCGTAGACGAAGGGGGAAATTATCGTACAGCAACGACTGCTTTATGGTAGGCGATGGTGAAATTATTGTTGAGAGATTGAATTATCGTAGGGACAGCTGAATTGTATATTATTAATGGATAAATTAGCGTAAGAAATAAGGAAATCATTGCATAATTAAGGGTTGATGGATTATCGCAGACAAAGGTGAAATTGTCGCATGTTTAAGGTTGAATTATCGTACGAGAGAGGAGTGACGAACTATCGTACACGAGTATCATGTTATTGTATGGAAAAGCATGATGGTACTTTTGTTGTTCAGATTATTAGGTGCTAAATTATCCAGTAGATGGTCGTTCAAAAGTTTGCGTAGTTAATTATGAACAGTATACGTGAAAATTTAAGCTTGTATATGGGGAAATTTATATATATTGATATACATGAACGTTGAAGGTGATATCATAGTGTTGCACCAGCTATCCTTCCTCACGCCGGGTCAATTTACCGGATAACATAATAGATGTGGGATTGCTGGGTTGTTTCAAGCGCAAGTTAGACATGTATATGGACGAGTTTGGGTTATCTTGAGATGATTTCGGGGCTTAGCGTCCCCGCGGCCCGGTCCTCGACTAGGCCTCCTTTTTGTTACACCCCCCCCCAGGAAGCAGCCCCTAACAGCTGTCTAACTCCCAGGTATCTATTTACTGCTAAGTGAACAGTCGCATTCAGGTGAAAGAAACTCTGCCCATTTGTTTCCGCCTCCGCCGGGGATCAAACCCGGACCCTCAGGAACCTCAGGACTACGAATCCGAAGCGCTGTCCACTCAGCTGTCAGGCCCCAGCGGGTATAAATAGGAGCTGCTTTGCGCCTCGTTCCAAACGCCACCAAAATAGTCTGTCTGATCACTCCTGAGGTCTGCGTTGAAATCTCCTCCTCCATTAAGAATGACGATGCCTGTATCCTCTACCCTATAGGTCGTGCACCATATCCTGGAAGCTTGAACAGGTGCCTCAAGTCTGCAAAGAATTCTCGCCAGCTTTCCTTATGGCGCTGATGTTATCCTATCAAGATGTGGTCTCCATTGATAGACTTGCTGGTGATCTATCACCTGTTATCTGATACTTCGAGAGATTTGGTTTTTTCTCTAACTCAAGTATTTACTTTGCTCCAGCTTGTCTCTGAGCTGTGTGCAACACCAGCAGTTTCCTGCCTCCAACACTTGTCAAGACGGCGTCTCCAGTCCAGGAAGAGAGAGAGAGAGAGAGAGAGAGAGAGAGAGTATAAGCAAGGGGAGGGGGGGAGACAAGGAGCTTCCCCCTCCTCCTCCTCCTCCTCCACACACACACACACACACACATGCTATAGTCCTGTAACAAGATGTTATAGGACTTATAGGATGTCCAAGATGTCACTCTGGTAATCATAGTGTCATCTTGGGTTGATTACCTGACACTGCTATTCTCGTACAGTGCAAGGGTGCTGTTATAGTGTAATGGTGAAGGTGGTGTAACAGCCTGGTTGACCAGATCACCAGCCAGAGGCCTGGGCAGAGACAGGGCCGCGAGGACATTGCTCCTCGGAGACACTTCAAGATAACCCACAAAATAGTCATATTTATGTAAAATGATGTATGGTGTAGTTTAAGCCTAGAGAGAGAGAGAGAGACTGTGTGGATATTCTCCTCCTCCACCAAGAAGCAGACCTTTGTTGTTCAGAAACACCGGGGATTGAACGCAGACCTGCATGAAGCGAGACCGTCGCTCTCTACCGTCCAGCCCAAGTGGTTGGGCAGGCTGGAGGTAGAGTGTATTGTCAAGAGCCACTCGGCAGTAAGAGTTCCCTCTCTACGTCATTGAGCTCTTTATTGATTGGTTGATATCTTACCTCTCTCGACCACTCACTGCGCGCTGTGACGTCACCTCTCCTCACTGATTGGTCGTGTGTCAGGCCTACTTTTCTCACGTATTTATACATGGGAGACCTATATACGTAGGTCTTAATACATGGGAGACCTATATACACGTAGGTCTTAATATATGGGAGACCTATATACACGTAGGTCTTAATACATGGGAGACCTATATACACGTAGGTCTTAATACATGGGAGACCTATATACACGTAGGTCATAATACATGGGAGACCTATATACACGTAGGTCATAATACATGGGAGACCTATATACACGTAGGTCATAATACATGGGAGACCTATATACACGTAGGTCATAATACATGGGAGACCTTTATACATGGGAGACCTATATACACGTAGGTCTTAATACATGGGAGAGTTTTGTACATTTAAAATAAGTCGTATACTTTTCACTAATTAATCACATTCTGCAATAAATCAAATAGCAGATTGTACATTTGATTGGACAGATTATTATGGATTGTAGCAGCTTGTTTATGACTTTTAAAGGTCTAGAATATTGTGTTGCATACAAGTTGCGTCGTTAAGTGTATTGCAACACTGGCTACCCCCACACCTCACACCTACAACACTGGCTACCCCCCCACCTCACACCTACAACACTGGCTACCCCCACACCTCACACCTACAACACTGGCTACCCCCACACCTCACACCTACAACACTGGCTACACTGGCTACCCCCCCACCTCACACCTACAACACTGGCTACCCCCCCACCTCACACCTACAACACTGGCTACCCCCCCACCTCACACCTACAACACTGGCTACCCCCACACCTCACACCTACAACACTGGCTACCCCCACACCTCACACCTACAACACTGGCTACCCCCACTTCCCCCCCCCCCTGCCCCCCCCTACCTACCCCAGCCACCCTTCCTCATAACCGGAAATTGGCGTGGTTTGGTTGTTAGTGAAACGTCCAGTTATGGCGCAAGGAAGTGGTTCACCCCCGGGCGCTTAGTAACTGGGACTGGGGTAGGGGGGGTTGGAGGGGGGCAGGGGGAGGGGGGGAAGAGGCGAAGTGGGGAGAGGAAACGAGAGAGAGAGAGAGAGAGAGAGAGAGAGAGAGAGAGAGAGACGATCTCGTTAACCTGGACCCGGTTAGCGAGGGGGGGGGGGGAGTCCTTAATCCCACCAACTGACTAGTTAAGTCTCGTTAAACCTGCGTTCTGTTTCAACGAGTAGTTTGGTTAATCTAGGTGGCGTTAACAAGCAATCCTCATTAAACCTACATCAGCAGTTGTTGACGGAGGTGTTTCGTTTATCACCCTCCCCCCCTCCCCCCCCCAGCCTTGGTTAACG